TTTCGTAGCGTCAACCGGTTTGCTCCGAGGTCGATGACGGCGCCATACTCGCAGAGGAAGTCCATTCCGAGGATAACGTCCCTGGAACAGTCTTGCAGAACGACGAACTTCACAGCGCACGTCTCACCGTGGATCTCGACGCGACCAGTGCATCGCCCGACTGGTGTGATGAGGTGCCCACCGGCGGTTCGTATTTGAGGGCCTTCCCACGGCGTTGTCACTTTTCGCAGGCGGCGAGAGAGCCTCCCACTCAAGACTGAGTAGTCTGCTCCGGTGTCCACGAGTGCCGATGCGTCGTGGCCGTCGATAATGATGTGTAGGTTGTTAGACACCGATGCAGGGACGTCGTTGTGATGCGTAGCGTCGAGAGAGTGGGAGCGCTCCGGCGTTCTTGGAGGTTTTTTACTTCGGTCGTCTTCGGCAACGCCACCTCCAGGCGTTGCCGCACTTAGTTATCCCGGCGACGCAAGGGCGACAGGCTCTCTCGGCGGGGTCATGGCGCTGGAGATGCTGAACGTCTGGGCGACGGTGAGCGGGACTCACGGCGGAGCGGCGTTGAAGATGGCGAACGTCGGAGGTACTCCTCGATGTCACGAGGACGTTTGTCGTACCTTGGACGCGGGTCGTTCGGGTGGAACCCGCGCAGCCCCAGTTGTCGGTAGGGGCATCGACGGTAAATGTGGCCGGCTTCACCGCAGTGATAACACAACGGGCGTCGATCGGCCGTCCTCCACACGTCGGTCTTTCGTGGCGCAGCTTGTTCTGGGCGGACGTGCGCCCGATCTTTGCGGCGTCGGGACTACTGCGGCGCTGGAGGCTCACGTCGAGGTGGCGCCGTATACGGGTGAGCAGGGTGTGGTCGTCGGGCTATGGCAGCGTAGCTCAACGTCGGTTCCCCCGGTGCCACCGTGGTGACGGGAACCTCTGGTTGGAGCGCCCGTTGTACTTCCTCGCGCACAGCCTCGGCAATGGAGAGTGTCGCTGGACGACTTGCGGCTGGCAGCAACTGGCGGAGTTCCTCCCGTACGACTTCCCGGATAATTTCGCGGATGTCCGTACCAGGAGCGTTCTCGCTGCCAAGCAGTGCGGTTGCAGCAACACTTGGATGTCGCTGGTAGTGGGAAGCGCGCGCTTGGAGGGCGCGCTCGATGTTTGTCGCCTCGGTGACGAAGGCTTCTACGGTGCCCGGCGGGTTACGCACGAGGCCTCCAAAGATGTCGTCTCTCACCCCGCGCATGAGGACCCGCAGCTTCTTGTCGTCTGTGGCTCGTGGGTCGGCACGGGCGCTCAGGCGGAGGACATCTTCTACGAAGCTTGTAACGCTTTCTTCGGGGCCCTGCGTTCGAATTCGGAGGAGATCTTCTGCCTTCTCCCGTCGGTGTAGGGTGGCGAACGTCCGCTGCAACTCGGCCACACAGATGTCCCACGACGTAAGCGAAGCCTCGTGATTCTCGAACCAATGCCTCGCAGTACCCTCCAGCGAAAAGTAGAGGTTCTGGAGGCACTGCTCCGCAGTCCATCCGTTGTGGCGCGCCACACACTCGTAGTGCTTGATCCAGTCTTCGACATCCTCGTGGATCTCGCCGTGGAAGGGAGTCGGCGTACGGGGAGCGGCGGGCAGGTAGACGACGGCAGGAGCGGCGGGGGTCGGCGACTGGTTGGCCATCGTCAGCTTCGTTGGCTGCTTGGTCCTGGGCGGCAGAAGTCCGAATTCCGGGCGTAGTCCTTGGGTGCGACGACTGAACCGGATCTCGGTAGTGCCTTCGTTGGTTCTTTGTGGGCTTGGCGTCGGACTTGCACTGCGGGCCCTCGGAGGGGTACGCGGCAGGGGCATGCGTTACCCCGCACCTCCACCAAAATGTCACGGGTGGTGACCAAAAACAATAAATAAACAAGAAGAAATAAACGTTTAATGTGGCGAACTTGTGCCAAAAATAAAAGGGTACAAAAGGTAATAACAGAGCGTCGCGGGCGTCGAAGTCGGCGTGACAGCAGAGTCGAACGCTGGGGCGAGACTGACCCCGCTCGCCTTGCGGAATCCCTTATGTACCCTCGTGGGTTTCTGGATCGTTCGGTATAGAAGGTTCGGCGCGTAGAACATTCTAACCTCGAATCAGCAAGACGGTTCTCAAATTCACTAGAACATCACATTACAGTGTCAACAAAAATTAGTAGCCGCGGCCAGGAATCGAACCCCGGCCTTTTGCGTGGAAAGCAAGCGCGATAACCGTTATGCCACGCGCGCGCTGTCTATTTGGCCAGCTGTGCGCGCGGCAATATCGCCATCGGGGTGTACTACAATCCCCACGTTACGTCATCAAATTTTGCAAAGGAGAGATTGAATGAAAATGATCGCTTTTGTCCTTGATATTACACCGCAACAAAGAAGTTTTTTGGCCAGTGGCGTTGCGTGCGAGTATCCTTGAATCCCACTAGTGCCAGTATGCTTGTGTAAAGTAAAAAACATTCTAATTGAATATCGTTGCACCGCTCCTTTAAGAAAAGATCTAGGGTGCATGCATTGCTTTATCACCCCCCCCCCCCCCCCTAAAAATAACAACTGAATGTGCCTCCATGGTTTCAGTGTCCTATTGGCTGTTGGTTGAAGGATGGAGCATTTAGGTCATACTTCCGGGTTTTTGGTTTGCTTGTGGTTCTTGGCCCTTAGATGCAACCAATATGAAACTGAAACCTTGGCAGTGCATTCAAATTTGGTCTGTTGGGATGTGGTGACATGCAGCACATTCCTCACATCTTTCTAAAAGCGTCTAATTTAGTAGTTTTTTGATACAATGCTCATCATACGCCCCTCCGTAAATGGGTCCTTGGGCATTAAAGGGGCCCACCAACAGTTTTTTGACCGGTTTGAAGTTCGCGCTTAAACGGAGCTCCATGAAAGCAGGAACACCGAGGAAAAAAGATATTACAGAAATTCGCGATATTTTGTGAGTTATTAGCAAATTAAATATTGCAGAAAACAACTTTAAATAAGCAAAACATTGCGCTTCATGGCGTAAAATGAAACAGTTAGGCGATTGGAGCAAAGCGGTTGGCCAATTGGACGCGAGTTTGGTTGATAGCCTGTCGGCCCGGTCGGCTCGTCGGCCATTAGGCCTAGCTGCAACCATCGTAGCTTTGGGATCGGGTTGACATCATCGATGAATTTAGCGGGCTTATCAGATTTTGAGTGCGGATCTGGGCGTCGCGCTGTATGAGGACAGTTCACGCAAGCGCCGCGTCTCTGCCTCAGTCCGCTTCGACAGCCGCGGAAGACTCGTCTCCCGCAACTCCGCCACCGGAGCCACCTCGGCGAGTAGGAGGTACAAACTGGTGAGCGGCACCGTTGGGTACCATATAAGCTGGGTCCCGTCGCTTACTTCACTCGAACAGTGAAAAGTCTGTCACAGTACTAAAAAAAAAATAAAGGTTCCCCTGGCTCCTCTTACTGCTTTTAGTTGACCGGGACCGGGGACGCACAAGTGAAAATACGATGCGCTGTCTGCACGGATCACTTGTCGTCTGCTCGCGATGGTACGTCGCGGACGCCGCTGGGAGGCGCGCATGGCGCTCTGACGAGCCGTACGCGGCGTTGTTTTCGCCCTTTTTGAACTTTACTTTGCAACTTTATTAGCTCTATAAAAATGTCTTGTTTGAGAAATAATGACGGTTAACGTGCGATATACTTTATTTCGCTTCAAAATTCCTGGGACGGCTCTCGCCAATCACGAAACCCAGAGAATGTGACGTATTGTGAAAGGGAGCGCCGTTATGCGCGCGCATTCGGCACCTCACGGCGCCACCGTCGGAGGAGGTGTTTCCGAGTTGTCAAATTAAAATACGATGCGCTAATATTTTCAAACTCTTTCGTTGTCCACAGGGTTCCCGGGACCACTAGCGTGTAGAAACCGCAAAAAAAAGTCGACGCTCAAATACTGTTGGAGGGCCCCTTTAACCAATATGTCACCAACCCTTTTTGTTCAATGTATAATTTTAGCAGGAAAATTTTGACTTGCACTCTATGAGACTATGGCTGAAACAATCGAGTAACGACTGAAAGATGCCAGTTGCCCCAAGCCTAAAAGTTGAGCTTGATGCAAGATGCTCTTTCTTGCATCTAGTTCAACTTCTCGTCTCAGGGTGGGGCCGTTGACATCTCTCAATTGTTGCTCTGTCTTTTTAACTTGTATCGCCAACGAGTTTATGTCATATTACGGTCGGAAAGAATTGCCACAGTGTAAGTACAGCGTGAAAATAATGTTGGTTTAACCTAGCATGTGAATTTTGGTCATTTTTAGTGCCTTGGGCTTTGTAGTTTTTTATCTATTCAAAAACAGATTGGCTGTAGCATTGATGCGGTGTGCTTTGGGCATAACTCGCACATGTATCTGTAAGAGCAATATGAAAAATATGGCCTAGATTGTCTTTGCATGAACTGATGCAGGATCTCTCTGACACTCCTTTGAATGTTTATAATGAATTTCAGTTCCAGTTTGCCTATATTTAAACTAATTTGTTGAATGCAAAAAGTCAAAGTCAAATTTGGGGGTTTTACGTGCCAAACCTACGACGGGCATCTGGCACGCCCCAGCGGAGGACTGAGGATTAATTTCGACCACCTGGGGATCTTTTGACGTGCAACCGAAAGCTCGGTTACACGGCGCCTTCTCCGCAATAAGCCTCCGTCATATTGCGGGCACCTCGGTCAGGATTCGAACCCGCCACCTGGGGATCCGTAGGCCGGCGCTCTCGCCTCGGAGCCACCGAGGCGGCGTGTTGAATGCAGACGAAAAAAGTTTATGGTGACCAGTTCTGCAGAAGCCAAATAGTCCAACCTTGAAAGAGTTAGAAGGCGATGACATCAGCGGTCTCGTTCTGTGTCTTGCTCCACGTGTCACGACAACAAAAGTTGCACGACACCCGAATGTTTGATGTCTGCACAGCTTTTCTGTGAAGCACCGAATGGGGCCGTTCTAATTGGTGGCTGGTGTTTCTGCCCGTAGGTACGGCCGTTCCGCAACGCGCATCAACTTCGCGACACCGACCGGGAGTTGTTGAAGCTTGCCCGCTACCTGAAAGACATTGTCCCGGTGGAAGACTTCACGGATCTCAATCATCGTAACTGGGAGAGGTGACGCCTTTCCCATCATTCTTTGGCACCTCTCATTGCTCGAGAAATTATATCATAAATATGCTCCATTTTGTCTACAAGTGAATCGGCCTAGACTTGGAAGTGATGCTACAGTTCCATTTCCATTTCATATAATATGAGAAACTCAGGTGCTCCATCCATAGGAAGCATGGGCAAGTTCAAAGGGGGCCGGGCAAAGTATTTAGTAGGCGTGTGTGAATCTTTGGCATTTCGAATATTGACTGGATATTTTTAATATTTGATTCATATTCCATTTTAGAATTACCTATTTGGCACATTGCGGATTTTCGGACAACTAACAAATGGTCTGACAAAGAATGAATAAGCACGACGTGGGGTGTGCAACGAGGGTACAGAAATTTTCACGAAAATCTACTTATATGTCGACTTCATTCATGCATCTGCCTTCCTCAAGCAAATATGGAGCAAACGACACGAGCGGGGTAGGCTCCAGCTCCAAAGGAAAGGCCGCGGGTAGCTTAGCTTGCATCACGGTGTAAGATATATATACTCTAGGTGAGGGCATGCAACACGGCAAACACTGTGACGCAATCGACCAGATGGAGACCTCTTGTGGCTTGCCAACAGCATCTTAGCTGTTCAGGTAGCACAACTGAGGCAAAAAAAAAAAAAAGTTTCGTTCCGGGCACGCACTTTTCCCGCTCAGAGAATCTGCTCAGTCCTTGATGGACGCTGGCTGGAATGTGGCGCCAGAGATCTCTCCGCTTCAGCACGTTCATAAAACTATTATTGCCGCCATTGAGGTATGCATTTAGGGTCAATGACGAAGTAGTGTCTAAGCGACACACGTGGTGCGAGTGCCAAGTTCTTCATGATGTGGTGCACCCAGAAAATAACTTTAAAAACAAGCATGTCTCCCATACAGAAGCATGGGAAACTGGGCAGCGACAGGCTGCCATTAGCTAGAGAGCCTAGGCTGTAGGGGAGAGTCTATCTCAAACCATGGGGAGTGTTTGCAATTAAATGGCGGATGCCTCCCGCGCTGATTAGTTGCAACTGCGCACGCGCTGCATTGTCGCGTGACGAGGAAGAAAGCAGGAGGTAGAGCAGAGACGTTTGCAGACGACTAACGCTTTCGTCACCTCCTTGCAGCTCGTATTGCAAATGCAGCCCATAAAGTATGTGACCCGATAGAGCATTTGGACACTCTGTAATTCGCCGTAAAGTCCCTATATGCTGAAAGGTAGTGCAATTCTCCCTCTCCCCACATTTTCCTCCTTTCCATCAATGGCAATCCTCCTCGCCCTCCTTCCACACCACGCCCCTTGCCGCCATTTTTGTGCGAGGCCCACAAGGCGCGCCTATGCATGCCAGGCCGTACTTGCTTGCTTTTTCATACGGCAGACTACTATGTAATTTATTTATTTTTAATATGAAAGCAGTTTTGTTTTTTATTGTGATGAAACTAGCTTTGGAGTTCCAAAGCAGAAGAAGACGTCTCAATCAGAGAATGTAATAACGCGAGCAGAGTTGGAGTCGCTCGGGTGTGAAGACATGCTTTCTCCAATTCCGCTGAACGCAGACGATTTAAAATAAATAACAATCTAGTCTCGAATATTTTGCAACATCGACATGCACTGCAAAAACATATAGCATTTACCTGTTTATTGCAGGAAGTGCTGAGAGCAGGTACATGATAGAATGTACCTCTTCCTGCATGTAAATAGGCAGTTTTAGTGTATTGTAGGCAACGACTGCGTTGCTAGCGGGAGCTCGTGCCGTCACTAAGAGCATGGATTGAGCATGCGCCTGCAAGGCCTGCAATCCTTAGCGAACGCTCTACTAAAACTTTTAATACTCTATATCAGGAGTTAGTTAGGTTCAGCAAAGGCAAGGTCACATGGCTTTCAGATTTGCTTTCCTTTCGTGAGTGCTCATGAAAGGAAAGCAAATCTGAAAGCCGCGCGCTCACGCCTCTGCTGCACGCGACTCATGAGATGGAGTATACGGGGTATTCATTAGATGGCCAAATTTGAGGGCGCTGTTTAAAGTGCATGCTCAGAACGAGCTCACATTAATAGGCTGCTAAGACCAGCGATCTTGATTGTGTGGAATGCACATTGCAAAAGAACTGTGGAAGCTCGCCACCAGCACGTACTCTGCAGTCACGCACACAGCTATGGCTGCCATTGAATACTCCTTTTAGTATCTTGTACGAAGTGCATTTGCAGACTCGGCATCACTTGAGTTAGGCAAGTAAAAGACAGTACAACTATTACAAAGACTTTTTGGTAATTTTTAGCATTACCGATAGTTTTGCCATACCAGCAGCTTGGTTTACTTCATACACATTTTATGGCCATTAATACTACCTGCAACTGTGCACATGCGCACGAAGGAATATGTGACGTCGGCTATTTATGCGCCTCATGCATTTAACTACCCATCAAATACACTCATCTCCCTCGGAGGCAGTCTAAACTTTTCTGACTGATCTGGTGGAGCCATTGTCTTTGTCACTGAAGATTCCCTTTTTTTGTCGGGGGGGGGGGGGGGGGGGGGGGGGGGTAAAAAGTTTCTTCTCTTTTGCAACGCTGTTCGTACAATCCACAGTGCAGCAGGATGGCATTGCATTGCCACCAAGATTGTAGCAAAAAAAAAATTATATATATTTACGGCTTGGTCATAAGTAAAGGAAGCCACTGCCATACCTCGCACGAAAATGGCGCGGTTCAGGACAGACCACCGAATCGCGCGGGATTATGGGAAGGTTACGGTCACGTGTCCCGCCCAATCCAATTGAAGCGAAGGAGGAGAGATTATTAGAGGAAAGGACATGGGTGAAGAGGAATTTCCCTTTCCCATTTCAGACAATAGTTGGCGCTACCTTTCAGTATATAGGGACCTTAATTAGCCGCATATCGAGGAGCCATCCGGTGGTGCCGTTTGCAACAAAGGCGAGACAAGGACTTTATCTGGCAGCTGCGAGGCACGCGCGGTGTGCACACCTTTATATATATCTTGCACCTTGACTTGCATACAGTGGTATTATTTAAAACATTTTGCGTGCTATTGCAAAAAAATAAAAAATAGTAGGAGCAGGAAAAAGAAGTTGCTTGCTTTTCCCCAGTAGAAAAAGGTTGATCAAGCAACAAAAAGAAGGAAAAGACTGACAAAACCACCACTCCCCACAAACTGTGGACCAGGGACTTTTTTTTTCTTTTCTTTCTTTGGCTAGGGCAGGGGTTCTCAAACTGGGTTCCGGGGAACACAGGGGAGGGGTTCCACGAGCTGGTCTCATGGGCTCCGTGAACACCCAAATTGCAACCCCCCCCCCATGCCGCAGGCTGCGCGGCAGGACCATGCAAAGCACCTTCATCTCACTTTGTACTGACATTGCGATTGATATGGTGGGGATATATGAAATGCAACACAAGCAAAATTGCCTACAATTGTGCATCTGTTGCTTCTCGGTCGGCAAATACGGAGGAGGGGGGGGTTCCGCGGCAGTTTTTGAGGCTTCCTGGGGTTCCGTGAGGCCAAAATGTTTGAGAACCCCTGGGCCGGTTTGCTGATCTTGCGGCTGCGGCCGCGGCCAAGAGGGATTTTTACGTCACGTGACCAGCTCCATGGGGACAAGGAAGTACCTAGCATCCCTGCCTAATGGCGGAGAGATCCGCATCGCTTCAAGCACAAAAGCCTAATGTCGCTCGCAGAAACTGATTGCAGGGACTTTCAACTGGAGTCCAATTGACCGCCCCTTGATACTGTAGGGCGGCAGGTAAAGTTACGGCCAGGGAGGGTAAATAGGAGCCAAAATAAAGAAAAAAACACGAGATAAAAGCGGGTAGCAGTATATTTATATGCCGGCGCCTCGCGCCTTCTGCTATGGTCGAGAGGTTAAAGCGCCGGTACTTGTCGTCGCGGCGTGAAAGTTCCGGGTTCAAATCGCGCTAGGGACTTCTTTTTTTTTTCATTTTGTGTATTTTGCGCGTGTCTTACTATTTAACTGTGATCCTTTTTAGGAAATCGTCTACTTGCACTACTGCGCCTTACACGGTTTTTACTGTTAGTCCCACCTGTTCAATCGAAACACCGGGAAATAAAAAAAAAATATATCAACGCAAGTTAACGTGCTAATACAATAATTTCATAATGTTCATTTAAAGGAAACCAAGGTAACAGCATCGGTATGGCTTTCACACAAACGGAGCCGAAACAAGCATCCTTTCCCCAGCAACTACAGTTTTATCTGTTTTTAAATAACGCTCTTGCTACGATTCCTTTCAATAACAAGAGACGCCTATTTAGGACTAATAAAAACTGCAGTTGTGACAATTAAGAAAAAAAAAATTCCAAAAAACAAGCAAAAAACAAAAAAAAAAAAAACTAGCAGCTGTAAATACATTGATTGAGCGAAATCCTACAGGCAAGGCAGCAAGTCAAACGTCTGAGAAAGTAGTAAAACCAAAATAAAAGAGATCATACTTGCATGGAATGTGATAAAAAGTATATTTATACTCTTTAAATTTTGTTGTGGCAATCGTTTTGTAATATTAACACATTACTTGTTGAATTTTAGTTAGAATAGCAGACGATCACGACCGAATGCAAAAATGAATCTGGCGTCGACATCGCAAACCCTCTCTCTAATGCAAACACCTAAAATGACTTTGGATCAAGAAATGGAATTAATTATGATCTAATTATGACTTGCTACCTTGCCTGTAGCATTTCGCTCAATCAGTGTATTCACAGCTGCTAGTCTTTTTTTTTCTTTTTGCTTGTTTTTTGGAGTTTTTTTTTTTTAATTGTCACAACTGCAGTTTTTATTAGTCCCAAATAGGCGTCTCTTGTTATTGAAAGGAATCGTAGCAAGAGCCTTATTCAAAAACAGATAAAACTGTAAATGCTGGGGAAAGGATTCTTGTTTCGGCTCCGTTTGTGTGAAAGCCATACCGATGCTGTTACTTTGCTTTCCTTTTAAAGGGCCCATGAAACGGATTTTGGGCTGGGAT